TCTTAATCCAACTGATAATAATTTAAAGTTTCTATAAAGATGCTTAGGGAACAATTTAATATGTTGATGGCAGATCAGGTGGCTACCAATTTGCGTTATATGAGACATAATACTTTTTGTAATGCGAATAAGCCTGGGAGGTGGTTAGCTTATCAGTTACGAAAGAAACAGAAGGCTAGGATTATAGAGAAAGTAAAATATAAAGGTACTGAAGTTTTTCAGCAAAATTTGATTAAAAAGAGTTTTTTAGATTTTTACACAAAACTATACTCAAGTGATAATATAAAGGGAATGGATATAGATAAATATTTACAATCAGTACATTTTCCTAAAGTTTCTGAGGAACAGCAAAATGAGATGAATTGTTTAATTACTGTGGAGGAAATTGGCTTAGCTATCAAGCAGTTAAAGGTGGGAAAGTCTCCAGGAGCAGATGGATTGATGTCAATGTATTATAAAAATTTATATGAAGAAATGTTGGAGCCATTAAAGGAGCTTTTTAATAGTATCTTGCTGGGAGCACAAGCTTCTCCTTCTTGGAAAAGAGCGTTTATATCATTGATTCCGAAGGAGGATCAAGATCTTACAGAGCCTAAGAATTATAGGCCGATATCATTATTAAATGTAGATTACAAGATTTTTACAAAATTTTTGGCAAATAGATTAATGCAGGTTATGAAGGATTTGATTCACAGTGATCAATCAGGATTCATAACAGGGTGATACATGAAATATAATGTTAGACAAATTATTAACTTAATTGAGTATTTGGATAAGAACAATCAGATTCCTGTGGCTTTTATATTTTTGGATGCTGAAAAAGCCTTTGATCAATTAGATTGGCAATTCTTATTCTCACTGGTAGAGAAATGAATTTTGGGGATAATTTTTTACATGCACTTAAAGCTATATATCAGCAACAATCTGCTCAAATTGTTGTTAATGGGGGATTGACTGAGATTTTTAATATTGAAAAAGGAACAAGACAAGGATGTCCATTATCTCCATTGTTATTTGTTTTGACATTGGAGATTTTGTTGATCCAGATTCGAGAATCAACGGTAATCAAGGGCATAAAGATAAGAAAAAATGAGTATAAATTACGGGCTTTTGCGGATGATTTGGTTTTGATTTTGGAACAACCGATTAGAGCGGTTGATTGTCTATTAGAACTTATAATACAGTATGGAAAAGTTTCTGGTTTTAAAGTCAATAACCATAAGACTAAGATATTATCTAAGAATATGTTAGCCAATGACAAGGAAAGTTTGGTTAAAGCCACAGGTTTTCAGATGGTGAAAAAGGTTAAATATTTGGGAGTATATTTAACTGCCTCAAATGGAAAATTGTATAAAAATAATTATGAATTACTATGGGCAAAAGTGCAAAAGGATTTAAATGACTGGAAAAAACTACAATTGTCATTGTTGGGAAGAATTTCAGCTGTAAAAATGAATGTTCTACCAAAGTTTCTTTTCTTGTTTCAGATGATACCTATTTTAAAAAAAGATGTAAATTTGGAGGAATGGCAGAAGGGTATCAATAAATTCATTTGGGCTGGGAAAAAAACAAGGGTTAAGTTTAAGATTTTGCAAGATGCCCGAGAAAGAGGAGGACTTAAAGCATCTAACTTGAAATTATATTATGATGCAGCCGCCTTAACTTGGATAAGTGATTGGCTTAATTTAACAAATAAGGATGTTCTTGTTCTTGAAGGGTGGGATTTAATGGCATGCATATTTAATTTTTAATAAGAAAGTGGACCGGGCTTTCAAATCACATATTTTGAGAAGTGCCTTATTTCGAGTTTGGAAAAAGTATTATTATAGGTTAAACTATAAAATACCTATCTGGGGGATTCCTAGACATGCAATTGAGGGGATTTCTAAGGGGATGAATTTTGATAAAATTTCATATAAAGAATTATTAACTTGGTCAGGTTCGGATTGGCATTTAAAATCTCTAGATGTATTAAGGCAAGAAAATATTCTACAATCATGGTTTCAATATTTACAAATAGTGGACAGGTGGACTGTAGATAAAAAAGAAGGAATTAAAAAGAAGATGGAAATCTGGTTATTCAGATTAAAGATCAGAGTCAGGCTCATATAAAAAGAATTTACAATGCTTTAATAGAATTAGACTCTGAAACAGAATTGGTTAAAGACTGTATGATTAATGAGCTCAGAATATCTAGGATCAGATCCCATTGGACTTATGGGAGACAATTTGGATTAGAAATGTTAGATTTACACAAGCTCAAAATTTGAGGGAAAATTTTTATAAAATGTTTTACAGATGGCATTTAGATCCTAAAAAATTATCTTGTATGTATCCAAATTTACAACCCAAATGTTGGAGATGTGGTAATATGGATGCGACATATTTTCATGTTTGGTGGAATTGTAAAAAGGTAAAGGCTTTTTGGATTATGATTTGGTGGAACATTCAAAAGATTTTTAAAAGGAAGATAAAGTTCACCCCTCAATTATTCTTATTGGGTATCTTTGTGGATTTAAATGACAAAGAAACTACTTTAATGTTGAATTTATTAACTGCAGCAAGGTTATTAGTAGGCTCGTATTGGAAGAAGGACTTGTTGCCTACTTTAGAAAAATGGATATTTAAAGTTTCTAACTTTGCAGAAATGGCAAAAATTTCTGCTTATTTGAAGGATCATACACAAGAAAGATATATTATTGTATAGAGAAGATGGATAGATTATATTCAGAAAAAATATGGGACTATAAAGTTTCATTTATTTTATGAGTAAATTTTATAGTAACTGTTGTAGAGATTTGTTTATATGACTTAATTTAAGGGGAGTTAAAGGTTAAGTATGATGTTTTTTTCTCTTTTATTTTATTTTTTCTTTTTTTCTTTTTTCTTTTTTATTATTGTTAACTTTCTTAATAATAACCCTGTATTCTTCTCTGGGAAGCGGGGGGGGAGGGTTGAGGGTGGGTGGGTGGGTGAGTGGGTGGGTAATGATAATATAGACATGGTAAACGCTTGGGCATTTCCCCTATGCTGCGTTCATGTGTGTGAGAGGGATGAGAGGGGAGAAAGGAGTAGGGAGGAAGTAGGATGGTTAGAGGAGAAGGGGAGAGGAAGAGAGTAGGAGGGGAGGAGAGAAAGAGGAGGGAAGTGGGGAAGGATTAGAGAGGGTAGACGCAGCCTGGGGGGAATGGGCAGGCGGTACCAATGGTTAGGAATTTAATTGTATTTTGTATGAATAAATGGAAAATAAAAACTTTTTAATAAAAAAAATAATGGCAGAGAAATTTAAAAATTACCTAATTGACTCCATACATTGTGATCAAAATGGGTTTCTACCGAATAGGCAGATTAAGTGGAATATAAGGACAATTATAGACATTCTTGAATTTTATGAATTGCATAGCGATCGTCAAGTGGCACTTTTGTTCCTCAATGTACAGAAGGCATTCAATAATGTTAATTGGCTATTTATGTTCCAACAACTGAAATTAATGGACGTCGGCAAAAAATGTTCTAAACGTGATAACTGCAATATATTCTGAACAAAATGCTCAGATCATAATAAATGGCGAGGTCACTGAGAAATTTAGTATTCAGAAAGGCACAAGACAAGGATGTCCTCTTTCGCCGTTGTTGTTTATATACACATTAGAGATTTTAGCTAGAGTAGTAAGGCAAGGGGAGCAAATTAAAGGGTTTTGGATTAAGAAGGAAACATACAAATTTCAAGCATACGCCGATGATCTAGTATTTATATTGGAAGATCCAGCACAATCAGGACATAAGTTATTTGAAATACTGGAGGAGTACGGAGATTTGGCAGGCTTGAAAATAAATAGAAACAAAACAAAGATCATTGCAAAAAATAAGACCAATATACAAAAAGGAAATCTTGGGGAAAAATTAGGTATACAAATAGTTCCTAAACTAAAATATCTGGGGATAGTTATCTCCGCACATTGGTCATCAATCAAAGACAACTATGGCAAATTAGTAAAGAATATAAAAGTCGACTTAGACCGCTTACATCTTTCACTTCTTGGAAAAATAGCAGCAGTAAAGATGACTATTTTACCTAAAATGATATTCTTGTTTCAAAATATTCCAATTCAATTAGATAAGAAATTTTTCAAAGAGTTGAATAAATTAACCTTAGATTTTGTGTGGCAAGAAAAGAAGGCAAAAATAAAACAAAAGTCTTTACAGGATGCCAAAGAGAGAGGGGATTTAGGTTTTCCAGATTGGGAGTTGTATTACCAAGCAGCGGCCCTGACATGGATTAGGGATTGGATCACTCTGGAAAACAAAAGATGCTTATATTTAGAGGGACATGATCTCCAGCAGGGCTGGCATGCTCATTTATGGACAGGGAAAAGTAGGAACCATCAGTACTTCCTGAGACATAAAGTCCGGCAAGAACTCATAAAAAGTTGGAATATAGTCAAACATCAATATTACATAGAAGTTCCAGCTTGGCTCTCGCCATTAGAAGTAGTCACATACCCTAATCTATATAGGAAAGACATTCTGACAGAGGAAGGCCATTTAAAGCAAAGACAAAAGTTGAGACAACAAGGAATAGTTTTGGAATGGTGGTCCTATCTTCAGATACAAGCAAGATATATAAAAGATAAGAAAGGGTGGGGAATCAATAGACAAGATAGGGGGCTTGATAAAATACTACTAGGTCCGGAGGAAAAAGCAAATTAAAAATATTTATAAATATATGTTGGAATATAAATTATATGAGGAACAAGTTAAAGAAATGATGGTCACTTGGGCAATGGATTTGGGATACACTATACATTTAGACCAATGGCAGCAAGTATGGGAGCGTAATAATAAAATTACACTGGCAACATCCTATAAAGAAAATCTCTATAAGATGCTTTATAGATGGTATTTGCCACCGGCCAGATTAGCGAAAATGTATAGTGGTTGCTCACCTATTTGCCGGAAGTGTAAAAAGGAAACGGGCACATGTTTTCACGCTTGGTGGGCATGTAGAAAAGCACAGGTTTATTGGCTTATGGTCTGGCAATGGATAATAGAAATGACAGGTAAAAAAATTCAATATAAACCAGAGACACTATTATTAGGAATATTAGGAAAAAACATAAACAAAGTTGATACATACTTAACCATACATGTGATAACGGTGGCAAGAATTTTGTTTGCTCAAAACTGGAAGGCAACTGAAGTGCCTAGCGAGGATGCATTAATAAGGAAAAATATGTATTGCACAGAATTAGATAAGATAACTAAAGAATTAAAAAATCAGGAAGAAATAGAATATTATTTAATTTGGAACAAATTTTACAAGGAGGGAAAAAAGAATAGTGTCAACAGAAAAGACATAAACAGAGGAAGATACTAGGAATGTATAGGTGTGTGTATATATATATATGAAAATATCTATTTAAATGTATAATATGGAATGACAAGGCAAAAATATATGTCAAAGACGATTACCATGTTCAATGTTTTTAATTTCTTTTTCTTTTCTATATTCAATAAAAATCTAATTTAAAAAAAAAAGAGAAAAAAAAGAAAAGAGCCAGCTTGCCTGAAGGACTCTTGCTGCAAGCATGGTGAGAAACTGAAATTAACTCTGGGTTTTGGGAGACTCCTGCAAGGGAAAAGGGAGCGAGCTCTGTTGTTTGGAGGCAACTAAAGATTTTAACAGTTGATGTGTGAAACTGCTGGCATTCCTGAATAAAAGGAACGTTGGAGAATTATTGATGTATCTGTGGTGTTCGGGGAGCTGGATCAGAACAGGAAATCATTCTGTACAGAGAGTACATTTTTTGGGGACAGATAATTCATGCCAAGATGTATAATAGCATCAACATCACAGTCCTTACTGGCATTCTTAATTATCTTAAAAATATGCCTTTTGCTTCTGCTAGCAGTAGCACCTGCCAGACATCTGGTACTCTTTCCAAACCTCCATATCCTTTTCTAAATTTACATCCCTTGCAATTGAATCACCAACCAGAAGGTGGCTTCTCTTTTTGGATGCCTTGCTCTTTTGCATGACTGATATGTAATATCTAATTTAGGTATTTCGGGGGATTGGACTGGAAGACCTCCAAGGTCCCTTCCAGCTCTATATTCTGATTGACATAAAATAATGTTATTTTAAACAAATGTTTTAAGTAGATTTTTCAGTTTAGTTGGGATTCAATACTCTGAATTGTTTACTAAAATACCATAAATCTTCTCTATCATTTTGAACAAATCAATTCTCTAAGAAAAATAATCTTCTTTGTTTTATATTTATTACTATCTGTGGTTTATCTTCTCAATAATTAGCATAATATACTGCCATCTTTTTTCCATACTTCTATCTCATTAATTGTAAAATAGGAGTACTTTGGAAATATGGTAACAAATGTAATGTTTCCCTGAAAGGCTGAAGGGGCTAATAGCAATTGAGCCCTTTTATCTCTTTCCCCAGATGACCAGCCCGCTTGGCCTAGGTCAGTGGTGGCGAACCTATGGCACAGGTGCCAGAGGCGGCACTTAGAGCCCTCTCTGTGCCGTTGCCTCTCCCCCTCCTCTCCAGCAGCCCCCTGAAGGAGAGTCACCCTCAAGCGTGGCCCACACAAAGCAGCGTAGCCAAGGACATGGCAGCCAGGCAGTGTAGATAAGACTCTGTCCTCACACTCCATCATGCAGTTGATGCTGCAGGGCACGAGCAGAGGGTGTTGCTGGGCTGCCTGGGCGATCTGCAGTGGGCCCTGGAGGTGGTGAATGGTCTGGTGGGCATGCGGGGGGATGGGGGGGCAGAGCAAGGGCAGGGCAGGGGGTGGAGTGGGGGCAGGGCCAGTTTTGGGGCATCCGGTCTCTAAAAGGTTCATCATCACTGGCCTAGGTGCTCCAACACACCTCGAAGGCAGTTAAAGGCAGTTAATTAAAATAATGGCTGTTAAGATAAAATCACATTAAGCAGCAATTACAGGTAACAACAAGCACCAGTTCAATAAACATATAAACAATAACATATAGATAGTGACAACAAACACATTAAAATAGTGGTCCTTAAAATAAAATCCAGCAACAACTACAGATAATAGCAACAAGCACCAATGCAATAAACATTTAGACTGTAACACAGCATGCACATTAAAATAGTCCTTAAAATAAAATAAAATTAAACAACCACAGACAATAATACAACAAATATATTAAAACGGTGGCCCTTAAGATAAAATCAAATTAAATACCACAATATTATAAAACATTAAGCCTTATTGTGAACAACTTTGCTCAACTAGAAACATTGTTCCAAAACTTCCCACGTGGCTCAGCTCAACAACGGTCAGTATAAAGGTCCATGTTTCCACTGGAGCTTTCATTTAAATCACATACATAGGTCCCAAAAACTGTCCTTTGTTCAAATGGCCCCTCACCAATCCTCTGCAGAGCCAGTGAGAGGCCTACTTCTCTAGGCAGGAGCTAATGATCTAGGAGCTGCCCCACACCAAGGATACAGCCATTCTGGAACCCTGCCTTGGGATAAGATTGTCACTCTTTCATAGTAGCTAAGACACAATCATCAGTCCAAAATACAGTAGTCACTCTTCCTTGGGGTGGCAATCTTTTTCAGTCCTTTAAAAACTTTCCCCCCCTCCAATCTCCTTTTTGCAATGCTGCCTTTCACCTTCTTTCTCTGAGTTGCTGGAATCTGTAGTCCTACTCCTCAGCACTCTGTTTTAACTCCCTCTTCTGGAGACTACATTTTCAGAAATCTCTTCCCATCTCCCCATCTATGTTAAAGTAGCTCAGAGAAAGATAAGGGGGAGAATAGCTGTAAATCTTTGTAGTGACTTATAAAGTGAAAGAAGGGAAAGGAAAACTGCTAATGGAGTAGGCCAGGGGTCCCCAACTCCCAGTCCGGTATTGTACCAATACCGGTCCATGGCATGCCATCAACCGGTCCACACAAACAAGCAAAGACCCATCAACGGGATGCAGGCAGCACACAAAACCACACATCCTCCGGTCCACGGAAAATCCTCTCTTCACGGAACTGGTCCTTAGTGCCCAAAAGTTTGGGGACCTCTGGAGGAGGCTACATAAATAATTAAGTTGCCTTAAATAATTCTGAATGTGTGTCCTTAGAGGAAAAAGAGTATCTTTAGAAGAAAAAAAACTGGATGAAGCTGAATTTTTTTTCCCAGTATAACCATGAAGAAGAAAGGTCTCACTGACCTTTCTCTGACATGAAGTGTGGTTTCTTAAAATCTGAGTCTTCATAGTTAGAAGAGTACAAAAGCCACTATGTAGGACAAACTGGCAGAAGACTAGCAGAATGCATCCATGAACACCAATTAGAAGACATAATGAAATTCTTTAATTCCACAACATATGGACAAACTTAACCATAGTTTTAGCTGGGAAACTGTAATAATCCTTGACTGAGCCATGTCCAAAAATATTAGAAAATCCTGGAAACTTGGCACTCTAATAAATTGGCCATCAATAGGCACATAGACATAAACAACATCTACATACTGTTCAAAAGAGACAATCAATAAGCCAAAAAGGAACAAAAAGACCAAAACACCTCCCCACCAGCAATCAACACCCAGATGAGCATAGACCAACACCAAGATTAACATCAGGCCAACAATCAAGAAGTAAACAATATCCCAATCAAGGCATTATCAAACAAGCTAACAGCAAACAGCTGTTAAAGCAAAACAACAACAAAATAATATATATTCTTCTCACACATGTATTATAGGCAGATAAAGATTTGTATGTAAAGGTTTATTATTAGGGGACTGGAGGCTAAAACATATAAGGAACGGTTGCAGGAATTGGGTATGCCTAGTTTAATGAAGAGAAGGATGAGGGGTGACACGATAGCAGTGTTCCAATATCTCAGAGGCTGCCATAAAGAAGAGGGGGTCCACCTATTCTCCAAAGTACCTGAAGGCAGGACAAGAAGCAATGGGTGGAAATGTCAAGGAATCAAGGCGAGAACAAACCTAGAACTAAGGAGACAATTCCTGGGACAGAACAATTAATCAATCAAAATGAATTGCCTTTGTCGGTGCTCTAATACTGGAGGTTTTTAAGAAGAGACTGGACAGCCACTGGGGGTTGGACTAGAATGGGGGGTTGGACTAGAATAGTGATGGCGAACCTTTTAGAGACCAAGTACCTAAAAACCACCCCCACCTCCCCATCCACCCCTGCTCTGTGTGCCCTACCTACCCACATGGCCACCCAACGCCCCCATGGCCTGCAGAAGATCACCCAGACAACCCAGCAGCGCCATGGCGGCCACACCCTCCGTCCATGCCCCACAGCATCATCTGCGTGTGACAGGATATGAGGGCAGAGTCTTGTCCCCGCTGCCTGGCTGCCATGCCCTTGGATGTGCTGTTCTGCGTGGACCGTGCTCACAGGCAACTCTCCTCTGGGGGGCTGCTAGTGAAGAGGAGGGGGCCGCAGAGGGAGGTGGGGCTGGGGCGATGGTGCACATGCCCACAGAGAGGGCTCTGAGTGCCACCTCTGCCACGTGTGCCATAGGTTTGCCACCACTGGACTAGAAGATCTCCAAAGTCTTCTACAATATTTTATTGTAATCATCAACACATAATCTATATCTATAAACAATTCATCCATAAGTTAGGCATGACATCAGATTTCAAATATTGAGTAACTGAGGCTATTAATTTATCTTTTCAGTTGTGAAGGATTCTTCAGAATAGGAATTTTGCAGAGAAGTCATTTCTGTTGTTCTTTTGTTGTTATTGTTAAGTTGGGTAACTGTATTTTTATTGTTTTTCATATGTTTCTTTTCCTGTTTTTTCAATTTGCAGTTTTTGTAATTTTTGGGGAGTAAACATTAAAAAATAAAATTTAAATTGTTAAAATAAAATTTAAAAAATGAGAAAAAAGAAATAGGGCACTGGTGGTTCAGGTAGATGGGAGGCATGATCTTGTTGTAAATCTGTATTTTAACTGGGAAGGTAGATTTTAAATGTGTATTTAAATTTTTAAATTGTATGAGCAATTGCGAAATTCAGTTCAGAAAGAAACATTAAACAAATAATTAAGTAATCACTCAAAGATATTTGAATTAGATCCCATTAAAATCAAGAGAACAAGTTTCTTATCGTAAGTGCTACCAATTTCATAGAATCAAATGTAATCATCATGTTCTGGCTCCAGCCCATAGTATTTCCTGTGACTTTTTTTTTCCGTTTTTCTTCCAGGCTAATATTTGGTACTCTTTATCCTGCCTATTACTCTTACAAAGCTGTAAAATCAAAGGATATTAAAGAATATGTAAGTAGCATTTTTGGGAGGATCCTGCATGCCTTTTAACAGTTGTTGCTCTGCTCTTTAGAAGGAAGAACAAACTTACCATCTTCAGGTGTGATTTTTTTTTTCTGTGTACTTACAGGGTGCCAAATCATTACTATATCCCCCCCCCCATTTTAATTGGTAATTTCAATTTTTGGCTAATGTGCAGATGATTTAACCTTATCTTCCATTTTAGCTACAAAGCCAGGAGAAATAAGATTGGTCTTTGGATATTTCCTGTTTCTAAAATAAACATCCTGGCTAATTAAAATTATGTATTCTTTACTGATTAATTTAAGGACACAATGCTGGGCCATTGAAGCACACATAGCAGATACAACTATACCTTGAGCACAGTGTGGGGCCCTATTTTATATGAAATTGTACAAATCTCCATCCATATCTGTAGAGATTACTATTTTGTAATAATATCCCAGATTTGTTTACTACAATGCTTTTGAAATCTGTAGATCAGGTTAGGGTTAATAAAAAACAGTTGCCTTTTAATATTACTAATATTAATTATGAGCATGTACTTTCTACTTATACTTAACCACATAACAAAGTGTGTGTTTCTGTGTGTGAACATTATTGTGAAGTTTTTGCAAATGTAGTGAAAAATATTTTTGCAATATTCAGAATTGTTTGGATATCCTTATTCAGTCTTAGTCATTTAAAAATGATTCTAGTTTTCATTATGAAACCAGAGAAACAGCCTAAAGTAACTTGGGATTTACCAAACCTCGTAACACCCTTAGTTTTTTATGAAATAAGAAGATTGCTTGTAATAAAAAAAGTATTTTTAAATAGTGAGAACTGCTTATGTTCGATATATTAAATGGTTTGTATGTGGGAAAAAGAATTGAAATTAAGAAACCTAAAGAATGAAAAAATATTTGCTAATTTAATAAAATATATTATTATGTAAATTTAAAGCTATCGTTTGAAAGTAGATTCAGAACTACTTTGATAACTGCTTTTATGCCATATCAGAATTACTTCTGCTACCTGATCCTTAAATAAGCCATGATACAAGCCATTTTTATCTTCCACACAAGAAAAATTAACTAAATCAAAAATAATGGTGTTTGGAAGACACTATCAGAGACATAAGTGGCAATTAGATGGTGAATCAATTGAACAGATTAACACCTTTGTATAGCTGGGCATAACTTTTTCCAAAACTGGATCTTGGGTTTGCCATCATCAACGAAGTACATTTAGAGCAAAAGCCCACCTGAATCTATTACTTAAACTAAAGAACCATAGTTACCCAGGTTCCTTAGCCCCATTAATTAAGGTATATAAAGCTAAAGTTACCACTTTGCTCTTGTATGGAGCAGAAGTTTGGGGTCTTTTCTCATCCACAGTCTTAGAACACAGTCCCAGCATTTTAGATGTATTCTGGGTGTAGATCCAAGAACATCTGCTGCAGCAGTTAGAGCTGAATTGGGAATTTATACAATTCATGCTCTATCCAAAATTAGAGCTTATAACTACTGGTGCAAAGTCAATGAAATGGAGATTGATAGACTCCCCAAGTTATGTCTACTAGAGCAAATAAAATTACAACCACAAATCTCCTGGATCACCAAACTAACAAATTTTGTAAGAAGCTGTAGTCTTCCTGTCTCTTGCGTAACAGGAGAACAATTCAAAAAAAGGGCTGCCCAAAGAATTAAGGATATAGAAGCACAAAATGATATAGCGATCCTTAGTAAGGTGGGTAACTTGAAATGGCTGAGTAAATACAAGTGTACTTTTCAAGTAGACAGCTATTTGAAGTTACAACTGCCAAAACACCTTAGGGAGGTATTTATGCGATCGAGATTCAAACAGCATGACACAATGGTCAGATATGGAAGATTCCATTCTATACCTTACAATGAGCGTCTCTGCATTTGTGGAGCGGCAGAGGTAGAAGACCTGGCTCACATACTATTTGATTGTTGCCTGTACAAGAGGGTGAGAGACAGGTACCTCGGTCTATATACCAAACAAATGACTCATTGGGATCCCCATATCAAAATAACTTACCTTATGTGCAGCCAGAACTTGAAAATAACATTTAACACAGCACAGTATTTAAACAAAATGGTTCGGTTGAGATCTGCATATGTGGGACTGATTGGGGTAGATTGCAAGGGTGACTCCAAGATATAATTTTATCATATTTTATCTATATTTTAAATTACTGTACTCTATTTTAATTTCATTTTAGACTGTATTTTACTCCAATTTCATCTTAAGTCATATTTTACTCTAGTTCCATTTTAAACTGTATTTTATCAAATTTTATTTTAAATTGCTTTTATCAGACTTTGGTAATGATTTGTTACTGGAACTTTGCACTTTGATATGGCCCAAGGGCTAATCAATAAAGATTTATTATTCAATAAATAAATAAATTTGGTTCTGCTTTTACTATTGAGTACAATCAGTGGTGGGATTCAAATATGTGAATAACCGGTTCTGTGTGGATGCCGCTTCCAGAAGTCTATTCTAGGCCTGGGCAACAAAAAAGTAGCTACCGGTTCTGCCGAAATGGTGTGAACTGGCTGAATCCCACCACTGAGTACAAATCTGTTATTTGAAGTAGTACTATGTCACCTTGTCTATTAGTAAGCCTGGTCTTAGTGCTAGGAAGGAAGAAAACAGCACCTGTATAAGTTTGGAAGTATGAGATAAACTTTTAATTATGCTTTTCTTTTCAGGTGAAATGGATGATGTACTGGATCATATTTGCACTCTTCACAACAGCAGAGACATTCACAGACATTTTTCTTTGCTGGTTGGTATCCTTTGAAATGTATTCTTCTTCAGAAGAAAACTAGAACAGAGCAAGCAGACCACACACAAGCACACACTGTAGAAAGTATTAGGTACCCAGTGATATTAGGTGGGTGGAATACTTGTCCTGGAAGCCTGGCACTTCTTTTCAGGAATGCCAAGTGTTAATATCAATGTTATTGATTGTTGTTCTCTAAAATTCCGCTTCAAAGGGGAAAATTGTAAACATACCAATCATTAGCATCTTTGAGAAACTTGTGGTTTATATAGAACAGAAATGTCAAACTCAAGGCCCGGGGGCCAGATGTGGCCCGTGAAGTGGTTCATGTGGCCCGCAAAGCCATCCTGGAAACAGTGAGGGAATTGCTCCCATTGCCTTGGCCCTGGCCCAGGCCAGCCGGAGGACAATGTACAATTCTGTGGTGGCCATCTATGCTGAAACACATTCAGTCTTAGCTCCACAAGGCCATCTAGAAACAACGAGGAACCAGCCCGTCTTGTTGGCCCTGCCCCCTGGGTGCATGCTGGGGAGGTATCACCCTTTGTGAGGAATGAAGAAATGGGCCATGCCTTAGCACTTGCCCCGGTCCTACCCCCTTCTGCCAGAGACTCTCAGATCTGTCCCACTCCTGCCAGGCCCCCACAGGCACCTTTGATGGGAAAGATGTAGAGCTGGCTATGTCTACCCAGTAGGCCACACCCACTTCATCCATGCTCACCCAGTAGGCCACACCCACTCTGCCCCCCCCACACACACACACCCCGAGGGCAACCGCAATGATGATGCAGCCCTCAATGAAGTTGAATTTGACACCCCTGATATAGAACTACCACTACAGTTTGTGAATCAAAGTTCATTTACTGAGAAAAAGATTGCAATTCTTCAGAGGATGTACATTATGAAGATGCAGTTCTGGCATGTGTATGGGGAAGATATCAATAAAATATTTTGGGATTGGACAACAATGATATTTGTCTTATAATAGGCAAGCAAAAGAAGAAGAAACATGTTCTCAAGAATGAAAGCATATACAATAATAAAAAGCATATAAGATAATAAAAAATCCTTCCACATTTTAAAAGGGCAGGTAGGTGAGAGAGGTTGAGAAGGACCTGAAGGAAGAAGCAGGTAGATGTGCCTCATTGTTCAAATTAAGTATGTCTGAGTTTGCAAAATTGTTGAATCCTGAATTTTTGTGCAGATAAACACAACATAGATGTATGTCTTTGAATGCAGATATACTAAAACATAACTAGAGTATAGAGAATGTTTCTAAATTTTCAGGAATTTAGAAATGGCTGCTTGTTTCTTATATTAAAATTGGTCCTGGGAAAGTCCTAAATAGAAGAAAATACAGAAAGAATATTGTTAAGTCCTCGCAGCAATGGCGAATGATGAAGACACATTTCTCCAGAACAACTCTTTATTGTGCTTTAGACAAAATTCCAACAATGAGCAAAGGCACGCAGGCCTCCTTTTATACACCCAGATCCCCGGACACAATGGCAACAGAAAACAGGCACTTTTCCCACCTTGCGCATGTGCGCAAGCCAGCGCCACTCAGTCTGGTCCCGGACAGCTTCTGCAAAGCCCGGGACCCTTGCAACGTCCCGAGCCTGCATTTGCAGGCTCAGGACACAACACCCCTCCCCCCTAACTTGAATCAATCCTGACCCTTTTAACATTCTTCTTTGGGAAGAGTGTCATACTTCCTCACAGTCAAGCTTGAACAGAATGCCTGAGCTCGCCTCCACCCACAAGTGTCTTCCCCTTGTTTTGGTGGATTGCTATACCCAAATTATAAATAAAGCGAAATAATATTATCAGTCAATGACCTTAAAGGCATTACCTCTGGAACTGGACAGCAACTTCACAAAATCTGAATGATATTTGGGCGGGCACTTGGCCCTTTGCGACCTCCTCGGACCGAGAGAGTTTGCTTGGTCTCTTCCATTTCGCACCAGGCTGGGTGAGTCAAGATGTTGCTGCCCACTTGCTTCAGGAGACCCTGGTGTTGTTGCCTGACCTACCTGCTCGCCTGCCAGGCTCAGTAGGTCAGGACTTTGCTGCCCCATGTACTTGGTTGACCCACCCCTCTGCTGGCTGGCTGGGCCCTCTGAGCTCAAACCAGCATCCCTTGGAGGGGTGGTATTCCCCAGATCCACAATGGACCGTTCTTGGGAGTACTGTCCCTCGAACCCAAGATCAGCAGATGAAGAGGCCAGGGTGGCTACAGGGCCCCAGTATCCAGTGGACCCCAAGGTCATGCCTGAGGTACCAGAATCAGGAGTAGCCTCTCTGTTTGCCCCCAGCCTCGCACGCACCTGATCTATGTGCTGCCAAAGGACGCGGTCGTCTTCCAAGGATACTTCATAGGACAAAGGTCCAGAGACCTTGCAGACCACAGCTGGTACTCAGAGATGACCAGGCCCATAGTTCCTAATCCAAACCAGATCACCCACGTGAAGGCACCTTGGTGCTCGTGGATGTGACACCTGTGAAGCCACCCGATCAGGATGCACTCTGTCCAGCTTAGTAATGAGCTGGCAACCCCAACAGAGTTCAGCAGGGCTCTTCCCGGTGGATGTGCAAGGTGTGGTGTGATGTGCAAGAAGAAAGTCTGCTAACCTGTGATGCCAGTCACCATAAGTCAGTTTCTTGAGGGCATCCTTGGTGATGCGCACCATATGCTCAGCCATTCCGTTGGTGGATGGGTGGAAGGGAGCTGAAGTTGCATGGTGGATCAGGTTGGCCTGAAGAAAAACCTGGAACTCATAAGAAGTGAATTGAGGACCGTTATCTGAAACCAGAATATCTGGAAGGCCATGAGCTGTAAAAATACTTCTCAGCACTTGGATAGTCTTGGCAGTAGTAGTGGAGGTCACAGGAACAACCTTTAGCCACTTGGAATGGCTATCAACAACAACCAGGGAGAATTGCCCCTGAAAAGGCCCAGCGTAATCTATATGCACCTTAGACCATGGGGTTTGAGTTTCCTCCCACCTATGAACTGGGGCCTGAGGCATTTCAGGCTGGGACAGTTGGCACACATGGCACCCATGCACCTGGACCTCAATGGCTTTATCAAAAACAGGCCACCACAAATGGCTGCGCGCAAGCGCTTTCATCCTGACTATCCCAGGGTGTCCCTCATGTAAAGAGATTAAGATTCTAGACCTCAATGAGGCAGGGATTACTACCCTGCTTCCCCATAACAGGCAACCCTTGAAAGTGGACAACTCATGCCTCTTATGCCAGAAACTTTGGAACTCAGTATCAGGGCACGTGTCAGGCCAACCTGACAACACCCACGTCAACACATGTGTAAGTGTATGATCAGTGGCAGTTTCTGCAGCCACATCCCTAGCATTGAGGGGAGACTCAGGTAGCTCTTGAATGGATAGAATGTTAACGGCTGGAGCAGGATCAGGCTCCAGTGCTGGTAGGGATAATCTACTCAGGGCATCTGCATGACCCATTTCCTTTCCAGGTTTATGAATCAATGAGTAGTCATATGCTGACAGAAAAATGGACCAACGCAGCATACGAGGAGACAGGATATATGGAGTTTGTTTGGTAGTGGTAAACAACCCCAACAGTGGCTTATGGTCAGTGTAGACTGTGAAGTGGTGGCCGTATATGAAATCATGAAACTTGTTAATGCCAGCCACAATGGCCAGCGCTTCCCTATCAATCTGAGAGTAAATATGCTCTGCAGAAGACAGGGTTCTGGAATAATAAGCCACAGGGACCTGTGTCCCATCAGCCATCAGATGGCTAAGAACTGCCCCCACTCCATATGGAGAAGCATCGCAGGCAATGCAAACAGATAGTTGCTCATTGAAGTGAGCTAGTATAGCATTAGAAGTAAGCAAGGCTTTAACCTCATTGAAACTTTTTTCATGGACCTTAGTCCACTGCCAACAGGCTTGTTTGTCTAAGAGCCTATGCAAGGGCTCAGCTATTGCAGCTTTATGTGGCAGAAATGCATGGTAAAAGTTCAAAAGCCCCCAAAAGGCTTGTAGTTCGCCCTTAGACTTAGGGCTTGGGGCCTGCTGAATGGCCTTCAATTTAGCTTCAGAAGGGTGAATGCCTTGAGCATCTATCCTGAATCCCTAAAAGTCAGTAGAATTGACTCCTATCTTACACTTGTCCTTTTTTAATTTAAGGCCTGCTTTTCTAAAATGAAGCAAAACAGCCCTTAATCTCTCTGCCAAGTTTTGGGATGATTCCCCTGCAATGAGGACATCATCAAAATATGGGCAGACTCCAAGAATACCTCTCAGTGTGTTCTCCATGACACTTTGGAATATACCAGGGGCTACATTCATCCCAAATTGCAATCTCTTTACTTTAAAAGCCCCTCTATGGGTTACAATTGACTGAGCCTCAGCAGCTGCCTCATCAACAGGCAACTGTTGATAGGCCTGTGCCAGGTCAAGTTTCACAAAAATGTGCCCCCTCCCTTTAGGGAAGCCAGAATGTGACTTACTACAGGTACTGAATAAGCGTGTTGCTGCAGTGCCTTGTTTAGTGTGCACTTGTAGTCTGCACATATATGTATCTCCCCATTAGCCTTAAGAGGCGTTACTATGGGGGTTTCCCAAGGACTAGAATCTACAGGTTCTAAGATGACCTGCTGGAGCAATTTGTCCAGTTCAGCATCAATCTTGCCTTTGAGGGCAAAAAGTACCCTCCTAGGCTTAACCCTAATGGGTGTTATGGAAGGATCTAATCGTAGCGAAACTGGAGGCCCCTTATAAGATCCAAGCTCAGAACTAAACACATCTGCAAATTCCTTGCAGACTTCTGCAAGACTTAACGTTTGCAAATGATGCAGCCCTGTAACCTGGATTCCCAGAGCCTCAAACCAATCGAGTCCAATAAGACTTGTACGTTCACCCCCAACAACCATCACATCTAAGGAACCCTCAAAACCCTTGTTCTGTACCTTAAGGGTGGCCTCCCCCTTAACACACACCTTAGAATTCTGAAAGTCTGTGAGTATCACATTGGATGGCCTGAGTTTAACTCGAAGGCCACTGCTGCTACAAATCTTCCTGAATGTGTTGAGGGAAATTATGGAGAGAGCGGACCCAGTGTCCAATTCCATGGATAAAGGAACCCCACACAACCTTACTTTAAGGGACAGCTTCTTCTTTAGGGGTTTATGTGTGCCTGTCCTTAGAACACTTCTGCGTGTTGCACAGAAACCCACCCTATTTTGGCTGGGGACTCTGGTACCTTTCAGATGCAATTCTTCTCTAGGTTGTACCTTCTGACGACCCAAACAGACAGATGCGATGTGGCCTTGCCTGCCGCATGCCCTGCAAATGGCGGAATGGAATCAGCAGTCTGCTCGCTTGTGGCGTCCTCTGCACCTGAAGCATTGAAGGGCTGTTGAAGCCTTTTCTGTGCGTTCCTTCTGTCTCCTTCCGGCTGCCTGGTAAAGCTTGTCCACCTCATCTTCAGAAACTTCTTCCGACTCTTCTTGCACGTTCTCCTGGTGGATTGCGACGGTCTCCGGAGAGCTTCTGGTGGGCCGCATATTCTTTACTGCCCTTCCTGCTGCTTCCTCTGCTGTAACCTCTCGCAGAGCATCTTCGAAAGAGACATCTTCCTTAGCGAAGATCTTTTGCTGTAAGTCTCTGTTCCTTAAACCGCATACAAAACAATCACGCAGCCTTTCTTCCAAATTTTTAAACTCACGTGGTCTGGCTGCTTGTCTCAAGACCGCAATAAAGTCCTTATCAGATTCACCTGCACTTCTGATCCCTTTGTTCAAATGTCTGCCTCCAGGCAATGACAGACAACTTGGGCTAGAAATGCTTTTTCAGAAGCTTCTTTAAATCAGTGTACGTTACACCTTCCAGAGAGGCAGGGGCCACTAGATTTTCTGCAATCTCAAAAGCTTCCTGTCCACAGGCACACAACAAGGTGACAGCTTTCAAACCATCTTCTCGAATTTGGTTGACTCTGAAATAGTTATCTACCCTCGCAACGTATGATTCCCATCTTTCCGGGTGTGAGACGTCGAACTCTGATAAACGGCCGATCTTCGCCATTGTAGCTTGCACTTCACCACTCGCTTCTTCCAGGGAAAGGGTCTTTCAGCCAAACTCACCCTTTAGCGATGCTGTACTGGCAGGATGGATGCTGACTTTTCTCTCGTCAGGACTTCTTTGGGTGAGTTTTTACAGCTTCCTTCTGATTATCTTGTGAAGGATCCCATCTTTGTCGCCAGTGTTAAGTCCTCGCAGTGATGGCGAATGATGAAGACACATTTCTCCAGAACAACTCTTTATTGTGCTTTAGACAAAACTCCAACAATGAGCAAAGGCACGCAGGCCTCGTTTTATATGCCCAGATCCCCGGACACAATGGCAACAGAAAACAGGCACTTTTCCCGCCTTCCCATGCGAGCAAGCCAGCGCCACTCAGTCTGGTCCCGGGCAGCTTCTGCAAAGCCTGGGACCCTTGCAACGTCCCGAGCCTGCATTTGCAGGCTCAGGACACAACAAATATGAAGATGAGAATGGGGTTGTAGGAAGCAAAATAAGGACAGGAATCTTAGAGTAAAAAGCAGAAGAAATGATTAGACATGAATATCTTGCATGTCATTTTTAATATGCATATTTAAGCCAGGGCTTTTCAACCTTTTCACCCATTGTACCACTTTTAGGATATGGCAATATCTGAGTACCACCAGTTGCCTAGCAAGGTGTCAAAAACTTGATGACCCTCCCCCCCAAAGAAAGGAAAAAAGTGATGAAGTGCAAGTAGTCCTCGACTTACAACAGTTCGCTTAGTGACTGTTCAAAGTTACAATGGCACTGAAAAAAGTGCCCCCCAAGCCACAACTAAGCAAGACACCTGCCTGCTGCTTTATTCCCCCCGTCTACTGGGTGGTTGTAGCAGGTTTTGGTCACTTCACATGACCCTGGGACACTGTGACTGCCATAAATATGAATCAGTTGCCAAGCATTTGAATGTAAATCACAAGACTCTGGAGATGCTGCAACATTCCAGCTGATCGGCGCTTCTTCTGTGCTCACCAGAAGCACCAGGATCAGCACAAACTCCGGCTGGAGCCTGGCACTGATCCTGGCGCTTCCACTGAGCCCTGACAGCCCTGCAGCTCCAGCCATCTCTCACTAAGGCTTGTGCGGTGCTGCCACCGGTTCAGCTCATTCCTCTCCCCCGCTACCACTTTTCTAGATGGTCGCGTACCACCTGCCAGATGCCAATGTACCACCGGTGGTACCCATACCACTGGGTGGAAAGCTCTGATTTAAGCCACTCAGAATTACCCTGTGGTAAGATGGGTGGACAATAAATTTTATAGACAAACAAACAAACAAACTTTATGAGATCTACAACAGTACATTTACTGGTGGAATTGTGAGAAAGGTGAAACTGAAACTATAATTTCTTGCTCTTTTGTTATCAGTACTCAGGTGACATTTGAGGGCCAAGGATTCAGCTCATTGTAATCTTGCACAATTGCCTTTGCTTAACTGAACATCAGGATATATGAGAGACTTCGTTTGCTTTTGCTCTCCTAGAACTTTTTTCCTGTAAGAAATGTGGAACTGAATATTGCTATCTTTCAGTCTGAAAAAGGAGCATTGTAGGAATTTCTAAAAGTCATATTAGAAAAACTATAGCCCTAGAATGCAATATAAACTCTCAAGAATCACAAGAAGCATTGATAAATCTTCCAGACTTTCCTATTCATATTACCTGAGATTTATGTACGGGTGTGGCTTAGCATAAATGCACACATTCAAACATTTATAAATTTACTTTATTGGTAAATTTTAAAAATTCCCAGGGAACTTGATTTGAAAAGAACAACAAAATATATTCTTTTCCTTGTCTGTAGGTTCCCATTTTATTATGAACTCAAAATAGCCTTTGTAGCTTGGTTATTGTCTCCATATACAAAGGGCTCCAGTCTTCTATATAGGAAATTTGTACACCCAACTTTATCTTCAAAAGAAAAGGTCAGTGATATTATTTCTCATAAATTTAGCTAAGCTTATGAATATTTTTAGGCTGTGACACCATTAACCAGTAGTCAGCCTCATCAAACTGAATGATAACTATTGAAGTAGTTGTTGGATAGCACTACTGATTGTATAATATTACTTATACTTTTTGCATTCCTTTCAGAAAGGTTTTATTTCAGTAGGTGTTACTTTTTTCTTGATTGACTTGTTTTTACAAATCAGTACCCAAAAAAAGCAGTTTCCCACTGGGATGACTGTCAGCGTAATCAATGATCTCAGCTATTGAAAAAAAAATTACAAATGTTTCAGAGGCAATTGGAACAGTCAGTTAGAAATCTTGAAGAACAGCTCATATGAGAAATAGATTTTTAATGCAAATTTGTCCAACCTGGTATTTTTCAGTTATATTACATTGAGCTACAGCTTCTTTAATTCCTATCCAGATGGGAATTATGGGAGTTACAATCCAATACACTATGACACTTCCAAAATGGACTACCAAGAGCTTATGTACTCCTTTATTATCCTTCATTCCTTTTAATTCAGCAATAATAATCTTCCCCCATTTGTCACCAGCAAACAGAGGTTGCAAAAGTTGGCATCTTAATACTAAATAAATTGCTGGTTTTGTTTTGGCTTAGTGTATTGTGTGAATTCAGCTAATTAAATTTAGTTATCAGACAATGGTTAAACAAATGGTGGCTTGCCATGATCTATATACCCATCCTTTTGGAAAGTAATTTATCTACAGCACTTTTATATCATGCTTGCCTCTGAGGTATAATTTGTGGATTATTCTTCTTCAGACTGAGTGTTAAGGAAACTTCTGAATATCTGTATTGGAGTCAGGTGTTCCCTAAGGATCTAAAATAGCTCTGCTTTTTTTTACTCATCACTCTAATTAGGACCTACACTGCAAGTTTATATCCCTATTTTTCTATTAAAAAGAACATATGAATAGGGAGAGCTGAGTAATTATTCATTTTATTTCTCTAATTAAATTGATATATTATATTAAGCAGTAAAGCATGGTCACCAAGCTACAGTTGTTAAGTTCATATAACATGTTAAGCCCAAACCTAACAAATTATGACTTAGACATCATCCTGAAAGTGGAATGGAAGAAACTTCAGTTACCCAAGTTTGAATATTTCTTTTATGATAAAGCTATGACAACTCCTCTCATATAATTGTTTTATCAATGAGAAAGATGGATGATTTGGTCACCACGATATAAAAAAGATGTTGAGACTCTAGAAAGAGTACAGAGAAGAGCAACAAAGATGATTAGGGGACTGGAGGCTAAAGCATATAAGAATGGCTGCTGGAATTGGGTATGTCTAGTTTAATGAAGAGAAGGACGAGGGGGGACATGATAGCAGTGTTCCAATATCTCAGGGGCTGCCACAAAGAAGATGGAGTGAAGCTGTTTTCCAAAGTGCCTGAAGGCAGGACAAGAAGCAACGGATGGAAACTAATCAAGGAGAGAAGCAACCTAGAACTAAGGAGAAACTTCCTGACAGTTAGAACAATTAACCAGTGGAACAACCTGCCTCCAGAAGCGGTGAATGCTCCAACACTGGAAGTTTTTAAAAAGAGACTGGACAGCCATTTGTCTGAAATGGTATAGAGTTTCCTGCCTGAGCAGGGGGTTGGACTCGATGACCTCCAAGGTCCCTTCCAACTTTTACTTTTACTATTACTATTATTATTATTATTACTACTACTACTACTACTACTACATAAACCATACCCTGTTTAAATTGTTTTGATCTATCATTGTGATCTCTTTGAGAAGGGGACCAAAAAGTATGCAGAGCAGGCATGGAAATATCTTCTCTTTGATAAGTAAGAGAAAGAAAAATTTATTTGAACTCTTTTGAGTTTGATTGTGGATTTTTTTTTCTTTTTGACAGGAAATAGATGATTGCTTAGTCCAAGCAAAAGATCGCAGCTATGATGCCCTGGTGCATTTTGGGAAACGGGGGCTAAATGTTGCAGCCACAGCTGCTGTAATGGCAGCTTCCAAGGTAACTAGTAGAACAATTCAGGATATGAGAGTTACTTTAATATTACCATTTTCTTTGGCTGTGAGAACATTCAGACACTGGCTCACGAGCAATGCTTAGTATCAGAAGCTCTAAAGCCATTTGCCATCAATAGCGGAAGACCACAAATGTCTCAATACATGCAGACACAAGGCCCTAAGAATTACATTCTTTCCAAGGTGATTAACAGCAAAATTTAATATTATACCGGTACTTAGAAAAACTTAAAGCTAATCCCACAAAGAATGACTAATAACAATATGTACCTACAAGTGTAGTGGCTTGAGATATAAATCTTAAGAGTTTTCAAAACTATTTCATTTCTTTTTCAGGGATTCCTATTTCAAAAAAGTATAATTTTCATTTAACCTATTTCTTTTTTGCTGAATTAAAGTAAAAAACTCTAAATTGATTTATATAAAATGTCTCCCAAATAATATTAAAAAACCTGAACAGAATATTTTGTGCTGAAAATGAGGTTATTTAAAGAGGTGGGAATAATTGTATGTACATTTACAATTTCTGTATGATAATGGAGAATGAACTGATATAGATAGTCTTAAAAGAACAATTGAGCCCACAATTTGGGTCATAAGACATTGCAGTTGTTAAACTAGGTGCCAATGTGACTATCTCATTCAATAACTTCAACTCCAGCTTCCCCTGTTGCAGTTGCCAGCTAGACCATCAGTATGTGGAAACCTGTCACAGGCAGGAGGTCTTGGCCAGCTATGCCTTTCAGTGTGTGGGAGTCTATTATGGGTTGGGAGCCCTGGGTCAGCAATCCCACCAGCAAATGGGGTATCCTCCCACCCCACCTTTCTCAAAACTCTTGGGGCTTTTCCCCACCACACCACTTTCTTGGAAGGCTTGGGGCTTCGCGTCATCCAGTTGTGCAGACCCACTTCTCTTCCCTTTTCAGGTAGCTGCTGACAAGAATCTCCAGCCAATGAGATGTACATCTACTGCAGAAAGCTAGCCAGCCCCAGCCCTTGCAATATTATGAGCCTCTTTCTATCTCTGGAAACATTGTGTTGGCTAGCTTTCTGCAGTTGGCATACCTTGCATTGGCTGGGTGTACTTGTCAGCAGTTGCACAGAAAGGGAAGGTAAGTGGAACCAGATAGCTGGGCAGAGAAAAGATTTAGGCCTTGGGAACTGGTGGGACAGGGGGCAGGCTGTGCTGGTGGGCCTAGCAGGTAAAAGCTTTCCAGCTCATGGGGGGAAATTGCAGCACTCCTGTGGTCATAAGGGCAGGTAGGCTGCCAAGCGCTGCAAATTTTGTCACATGATCACAGGAGGATTGCAACAGTTAGAACTTCAGGAGGGGTTTTTATGTCCCTTTGTTCAGTGCTGTTGTAATTTTGAACAGTTCTGGTTTGTTGCACAGTCAGCCAGATTATTGTTAAATTTAGTTACCACCTATCTCTCCATGGAGCTACTGTAAACGGCTTACAACAATAAAAAGGGAGAAATGATAAGAGTGTAAACAAAACTGAAGTAAAATAGAACAATAAAATAAACAATGGAAAAGAAACAATCAGACTATATCAATATGATAACCAAAAAAGTGGATGGATAGAAATCAGAGAGAAGAGAGTGAGAGGTAGAGTCAGCCATCAATCCAGCATCCATCTCTAACATAGAACTCCCCCATTTGGTCTCCAGTCCAGTCAGCAGAGCCAGGTCTTCAGGCTCTTGCAGAAGGATAGGAGGGTGGGAGCAGATTGCCCTGGAGGGCAAGATGTTCCAAAGGGTGGGCGCTACAATAGAGAAGGCTCTTCTTTTGTATTCCGATAGTCAAGAGTTCTTTGACCAACAGGATCCACAGTAGGCCCTTTCTGCCAGCACGAGTAGGATAGGCTTGTGCTTGTGGGACAAGATGGATCATCAGGTAGCCTGGATCTATGACATTAAGGGTTTTAAAGGTCATAACCAACACCTTGAAATGCACTAAGAAACAGACCAGTAGCCAGTGAAGTTCACAGAGCAGAGATATAATATGGGCCATCCTCTTTTGGCAGAAGACATGAATCCAGGAGAACCCCCAATCTGTGAAGTGAGTGTGAATAGGGTTGTACAACTCCTTCTGAACTAAGGATGACAAAATCTCGGATCCTGAGGCTCCAAACACCCAAAGCTACTTAGTCAGTTACTGAATGAATGGTCATAAATCAAGGATTATCTATAAAACAGTGTTATTTTTCATTTCAATTGATTTATTACATTGATTTAATAACATGTAACAATTAAATGTCAGATGATCCTGATCATTAAACATTGGACAAAAGAGGTATGTTTGCTATATTATACTTTCAAACAGAGGTTTAATTGCCTAATAAGTTAATTATATAAATAGTTATAAGAAAAGTATTAATTCGGATTAGAGGATAAAGATTGGTAAGAAATATAAAACTCAATTACCAGTTAGGATGTTGTTTTTCTTTTCTTATTATTATGAAGATAAGACTATTTCACATCTAAACTGTGTATTATTTAGTATTTGAATGCCCTTTAGAAGAAGTGGTGGAATCTGCCATACATTGTATTAGTTTTTCTTCTTTATAGAGAAATTAGCTGTTAATTATTCTACAAAAATCTTATAGTGGAAGTGAGTACTCAACATGTACACATAGCACTCGGTAATGACAATAGCAAGATCTTGTACAGGTGGTAGAGTATATGGTATATTAAGCTTTTCAGCAACAAGGTTCACCTGCGACTTCATACTTGTAGAACAATTTTAATGTTTGTTTTGTATGTTGCCACAGTGGGATTTTTTTTTACCTGCTAGATCACCCAGCTCCTTCATTTTCTATTGCATTTGGATCTGAAAGACGGGCAGGTAACCTTGTGAAAGTTTCTATTAACTTCTAAACTAATCTACATATTATCAAGCAAGACTAGCATGCTTGCCAATATTTTTTTTTTTTTACTAAAACAAGCACTTTCAAGAGTAAATTGTGGGACATTGATGTCATTCTGCTTTCTTTGATCCACTCAGCTTTAAACTGTGACTTTATCAGTAGTAACAAAAATTGCAGGGGTACCATTTAACATAGGAGTAGTTTACACAGATGTTACTACAGTATTACATCTATGCAGGGCTTTTTTTCTTATAGAATGCCAAGAACGGAGTTCTGACACCTTTTTGGGATGGAACCTTGTAGGGTGGACAAGGCAGGTTTTATGACATGTGTGAGTTCCGGCACCTTTTTTTTTTTTTTTTTTTAGAAAAAAAGCACTGCATCTATGTCAGTTTCATTTAGTTATGACAGGATTATTTAGCTATACAGTGGCTGCATGATTTCATTTCTTAGATATTAACCCACAAGGCTTGTGAAGAGTTTCAACTAGGATGCTTTGAAGCACATGCAGGTGCAAATATAGCATCTCTGCAATTCCTTAAAGCAGCTAAATATATTTTTCTCCAGCATCGTGTTCCTCTCTGCAGCTGCTATGCACTCCCCAAAAAATGTACATCTGGTTTATGAAGTTGTAGAAAGTTGTTACATATGTGCCGCCATTCTCTCTAAAACATCCTTTTGCTTTGTGCTCTGCAGCCCACTTAACTTAGTGACCAATTTCTATTGGGAAAAAAATCACCTGAAACAATATTTTAGTCACATCTCTAAAAACTCTTCTATGTAAAAACTATGATCAAAAATTTACAAACTTAAGATACATCTTTTATTCCTGACCTGGTTTTCAGATTGCACTAAGCTATAATTTAATCATGGTTTTCTGAAGAAATAACAGGCTTGAACAAGACATTAAACCAATGTGGGTGACCTTTTCGTAGTCAGAGCCATAGTTTTTGAGAATTTCAAGCAGTGACATGATATGGTGATAAGGCAGCAAACCCACTTGGGGGAGCTTTTTAGTGTTTTGGGGAAATGCTCAATGCAAAATATGGGCACTTGTTTCTATATTATTTGTAAAAAGGGGAAAAACCATATCACCAAAAATTATTTACTATTCAGCTCTAAATATTGGTGATACAATCTTGAAGAACTTCAGGGTCTACAAAAATGAGGTTTGGGGGACCATATCTATGCTGTGAATTTTCACCAACCTATAAACCATGTAATATAAAATACAGTTGTTGAATTCAAATAACACTAAGATTGAACATTAAAGTTTAATCTGTGAATTCAGTTGTTAAGCTTTTAGATTTTGTGCTTTACATATTGTTGATATTTTTATGTATAAGCACCCTTCATATTACTGTTTTAAACAAAAATCTAGTTACGAAGATAATTTTCCACTTTCTAAAATGTGTTCACTTTAAAGAAGGTTTAAAAATCTTTTGATATAGCCATCTTTGTCTAAAAAGGAAGCATTAGTGAAAAATTTATAAAAAATGAAGACAAGGTAGACTAAAATACATCTAAAATATATCAAGAAATTTATACAGACTGATAATATAAATATTCTGAAATACTTCAAGCATTTAATGAAATATTTGTGGAAAAAGACTGTTAATTTTATGTAATATATACTTTTGGTTACATACCCCAAAAAATACATTTCCTTGAAAGTTATCTATGATATAATACTAACTAACCATTTGGTGTATAGTTTAAGTGAAAGTATTTTTCATTTAAATAATATTTTTCCTAAGTACTATTTAACAACTTAAACGACAATCCTATGCATATTTACTAAAAAGAAAATCCCAGTGCATTCAACCATGATAATACCCAGAAATGCATAGGCTCCTAAGGATTTCATCTAATATCTAGCACCATTATTTTGCTTATTAAAAATCAGTGATGACAGTTTTTACTAATTCAGTTCATACTGTTTTTGTCCATTTGCATGTATTTTGTTTCATAGTTAATTGATACAGCTTTTATAGTGAATAAGAAACACAGAATGCAAAAGATACTTACATCTTTGTTTCAAGATGTAAAAATAAACAAGAGCAAATGATAACTTTAAGATGAAATATTTAGCAGGCTATGGTTATCCCTCTGTTGGTAACCTATGGATTGAGTGGCTGGAGTGCATTATAATCAGCAGCTGCCATGATGGGAGACAGTTCAAAAGTTTCAGCCACTGATAATCCTCAATTTAGGATTGGTTAATAATTAATGAGAAACCTATATGAGGGTCAAGAAGCAACAGTGAGAACTGGACATGGAACCACTGATTGGTTCAAAATTGGAAAAGGAGTCCGGCAAGGCTGTATACTGTCGCCCTGCCTATTTAACTATTTAAATAGGCAGGGCTAGATGAATCAAAAGTTGGAATTAAGATTGCCGGGAGAAATATCAACAACCTAAGATATGCAGATGATACCACTCTAATGGCAGAAAGTGAAGAGGAACTAAAGAGCCTCTTGATGTGGGTGAAGAAGGAGAGTGCAAAAGTTGGCTTGAAACTCAACATTAAGAAAACCAAAATCATGGCATCCGGCCCTCTCAATTCCTGGCAAATAGATGGGGAAGAAATGGAGGTAGTGACAGATTTTATTTTTCTGGGCTCCAAGATCACCTCAGATGGGGACTGCAGCCAAGAAATTAAAAGACGCTTGCTCCTGGGGAGGAAAGCTATGGCAAATCTAGACAGCATTCTAAAAAGCAGAGACATCACCCTGCCAACAAAAGTGCGTATAGTCCAGGCCATGGTTTTCCCAGTTGCAATGTATGGCTGTGAAAGTTGGACCATAAGAAAGGCTGAGCGCCAAAGAATTGAGGCCTTTGAACTATGGTGCTGGAGAAGACTCCTGCGAGTCCCTTGGACTGCAAGGCATTCAAACTGGTCAGTCCTAGAAGAGATCAACCCCGACTGCTCTTTAGAAGGCCAGATCCTGAAGTTGAAACTCAAATACTTTGGCCACCTAATGAGAAGGAAGGACTCACTGGAGAAGGGTCTAATGCTGGGAAAGATTGAGGGCAATAGAAGAATGGGACGACAGAGAATGAGATGGCTGGATGGAGTCACTGAAGCAGTACGTGTGAACTTAAATGGACTCCAGAAGATGGTAGAGGACAGGAAGACCTGGAGGAACGTTGTCCATGGGGTTGCGATGGGTCGGACACGACTTTGCAATTAACAACAACAACAATAATTAATGATACGACAGAGTCAAAAAAAAAGGCGCTTTGGGCCCATCCTCAAAGTTAAAACTGCTATACCACCACCACATACATAGTCATGTGCTTGCATTTCAGGTGCATGGCAACTGCCTCGCATTTATGACCAGTTGCGGCATCCCAGAATCACAGAATTGTTTTGTGAATTCTTTGACAATTTCTGGCAAGAAATGCCTATTGGATTAGCTGGACTTGGACCTATAACTACATGATTTGCTTAACAATTGTTATAAAAACAGCTATAAAATTGAACCTAATCACACGGTGTTTTGACTTATGATTGCAATGACCTATGACCAAAATTCAGAACTCAATTGTGGTCATAAATCAAGGACTACCTGTCGTGCAAAATAAAGTCATTTGTAAGACTTTTCACCAGCTAGTTGCTCACAGCTTACCTCACAAATTCTTAGTCAACATTATTGGTCCGTTTCTGTTCATTGTTGAATAATTACAAATATTATCTTTGGCCACACCCATGGAGCTGCCCTTCCTATTTTGGATTAGGCAAAAAATCATGCTGCCCTAAAATTTGCTCCCTCTGCTACATGCCTTACTCTGTGTCATGTAAAATAGGTATAAATGATTATTTGTATAGTTTAAGGGCATCATTCTATGGGATGTGATTATGGTTCACTTCACTGATTCTCTACTCCCATCCAGTATCATTCACCGTATTAGAAGTCTATGTCATGTTATGCATACTGTCTTGATTTCCCTGGGATCAGTCAAATAAATAAGAAAATAAAATTCTCCTTTAATTAGTAACACAGTGTTACTCCATAAACTATATTTTTATCTTTTTTCTTGTCCTTACCATCAGCTATTGAATTTTTAAAAAACTTCATGAAACAAAGGATCCACTGATTGATTATTCAACATAACAGTCATTTAATTAGAGCTTTTCTATGTTTGATTGACACCAAGAGGTCATTTGGATTTGTGCACCTACTAGATAAGGGTTGAAAAGCTAATTTTGAAAAAGAGAAATAATGAGTGGATTGGTATGGAAGCTATCATAAAAACACTGCATAAGGAAAAGAAATGAGGAGCCATGGATGTTGGGAGCAGCAATCATTGGAGGGGAATTTTCTGCCTGGCAGGCTACAGAAAAATGTGACCACCTGGAAGCAGCATCTGTAAAACTATCTGAGATGGTGTTTCAATGCATCAGGAAGGCTGGAATCCCTACCCAATTGGCTTGAATCGCTTAGCTTACCTCAGGTACTAGATAAGCAATGAAACGTGTCATTTGGAGAAGCTAAGGCTTATCTTTCAACTAATAAAAAATGTACGCAGTTGTTCTTGGAACCAACCAATTACTACCTGAAGTTGGTCCAAATATAGCCAATGTACAGCTTTTTTTGCCAGATTTAGTGAAGAAACAGGTATGGAGATGTGAACTGAGAACTGCCAAGGTGAGTGTTAGCAGCTGAAAGCAGCTCTTAGTTGTAGTGTTGTCTTACAAGCTTTAGACTTTGAAAAGCTGCTCACATTAATCACAGATCTTCAGAGAGGGGCACTGAAACACTGTTAACACAAGTGGGTAAAGACCAAACTCTTCATCCAATGGTGTTCCTAAGAAATTGTTGATGAGAGAATTCCATTCCTCTCCCTCAGAGAAAGTGGGCTATGTTGTGGTATACATCTATGAGAAATTACATTGTTCTCTGTAGGAATGTCAATTTGAACACAAAACTGACTGAATGGCTCTGAGAAGTCCACCACAATAGATTTATGTCCTGAAGTCTAATCCTGCAGAAATATGGCTTTAAGACAGAATGACAGATGTATTGTTCAGATAATTATTTCAGGGGATCAATAATTATAGAGCAATGCAAAAAGAAGTGAATCTAAAAAATAAAGGATATTGTCAACAGAACTATTTTAGACTACAGCAGCACAGAAATTACTACTGATGAATAAATATTTCACAAAGACATATCCATATAATTGCATGTTCTATATTCAGATAGTCCTTGATTTACAACTGGTTGCTTAGCAACCATTTGAAGTTATGATGGACTCCCCCCAAAGATACTTATGATCTGATTCTGAAGTTCCAATGCCCTTCAATCACATGACCACTTGTCAAATGCTCAACAACTGGCTGCATTTATGGCTGTTTGCAGCGTCTTCTAGTTTTTAGCAAAAATGCCCCATAGTGATCAATGGTTTGCTTTATAACCACAGTGGTCACTTTATGACAGTGACAGTACCTTAATGATCACTGCAAAAAATGGTCATAAAATCAAATTGGTCATATAGGTGATCCCCTTTTAACCATAATGACTTATAACTGTAATGGGAAGGTTCCATTAGAGCCATAAGTCAAAGGATTACCTGTATATTGTGTTAAGGATCAGTTCTTAGCATGGGCATCCTGGCAGACAGAGCAGTGTTTAGCTAACTGCATAATCTTTTAAAAGGGATACATGTGAATGAGTCAGTCAGCTCCAGTACTACCTTCACTGACACCAAACACATTTGTTTCAGTCCACATTAATTCAACTCAGACAATGAATCTACACTTGTAAAAGGAACAATGGCATGCCTTGGCCTATCTGCAAAATCAGATTACTTAAACTCCTCCCTTTCTGCTAGAGAAAAATGGTTTGTTGTTTTGAAAACTAAAAAGAGATTGGAAACAGAGGCTAAGAAGAAAAGCAGCTATGTTGCAAACACGCTCCTCAGGGACTGACGCCCAGGGATAACTGAGTCAGAGAGAAACCTATTACAGAAAAAAAATCCTTGAGAAAGTAAAATTTTAAAAATCAGTTAGCTAGAAGTATGTTGACCTTATTTTTAAATCAAATGTATTGTCTTTGATTATTATTGTCTTTACTGAAGCTCAGTGTGTGTTTTATAAATTGACACCTGTTTACACCCATTACTTCTTTCTTAGTAGCAAATCAATAGCATGTTGTGATCTGCTCAGTCATTATCTTGTATATTTTTATTTTTTTATTAAATAAGTTCTTTGTAAAGTAAAAACTACAAATTTAAATAAAAAAGAAAGTAATAGAAAAGAGTTAAGTAAATAAGAAATAAAATGAAAGAAAACAGGGAAAAGAAAAAATATTTAAGAGTGGTTTCTGATCTTTATAGCAGTTTTATATTTTTTATATTTTATCCTCTCTCTAAGGTTACATTATGGCTCCCTTCTTTCTACCCTGGATTATCATTAAACCCATAAATCCCAAGTTCATTTTTTTCCATTTTCAGCAAAAAAAAAATCTGTAAATTTTCTTATATATTTGTTTTATTACAGGTTGTTTTCAAATTCTGCCAATATCTTGAATAGCGCTGTATTTTTAACTCCTTTGCTAAAAAGAACTGTTTTGCATGTTTCCTTTTCTTCCCTTTTAAGTAAAATTTAATTCAAGAATTCTTGTGAGACTATCTAGAAACAGATTTCCCTAGACCAAGCAATACTTCAGTAGGGGAGCACACTATTTGCACAACAGTCCCCAGCATCTCCAGTGGAGTTAGAAACTTTCCTGTCTGAAATCCGAAGCAGTCAACAATCGGTGTGATATAGAAGGTTCTGAACAAAATGAACCCATGATCTAATGAGCTTTTTTCAATTTCTTCCTCAACTAGTTTATGGGTCATAACATATCAGAAGGGAGTAAGGATGCGGCCTGCTTATAAAGTCCTCAAGTATGCTAGCAAGGAAAGATGAATCGCAGAAATGCCTTTATTGCTCAAAAAATAAAGTCCTGCTGGTTACAGAATAGGGGAGTTGAAACTTTGGGAGAGAATGCTTTTTCTTTGTCAAAAAAAACCCCAACAACATCTGACAAGTAATCTTCTGGGAGTAATCTTTCATATTTATACATTTCTCAGAAAATAGAAATAATTGCATGTGAGTATGAGGATGAATAAAATGTGCACACATACTAATATGCATAAAAACATGACAATGAAGAAAATAAACTAATTGAAAGAGAGATGAAGTATGTCCAATTTGTCACTCAAAGTAATGGATTTTCAATATGCTTTTTTTAAAAAAAAAAGTTGCATGAATACCTATTATTCTTAAGATAAAGAAAACGACAGTCAAAATTTTATTATGTATCTCTATTGATTTTCACAGGGTCAAGGAGCGCTGTCAGAGAGGCTCCGGAGTTTTAGCATGCAAGACCTTACCACAATTAGAGGAGAGAGCAGCAGCACTGCAATTCCACTTTCTCCTGCCCCATCAGTTTTTGCACGGGCAAGTAGCAAGCAGAGTCAGCTGAAAACTTCCAAAATTGCATCAGACAGTATTGGATGTTCAGGTTAGTAGGAGTTGCCTGCAGACTTAAGTGGTAACATTTCCTCCTATCACCAGTTATTAAAAATGGACACAAGATGACATAATGACATTGAATTTTGTACTTCCCCGAAGCCCACATAGTTCCAATTTCAAATATACTAAAGGACATTTTTAGAATGATTTTGTAACCTTCAGTTGGGCAAAATTGTGAGTCACAAGGCAGCAATTTTTGAACCAAGGTACCTCAAACAGATCAATTTACACAATACTGGGACCCATTGCTCTTGCAGAATGAAATTTGAGAAACTTATGGCTGCTTTAGTGCCACTGCTATGCTGCTGCTGTTTCAGCACCACCATGCTTCTGGGTGATATGATCAGTAGCGAAGCTGGCAAGATACACAAACTTAATCATGATTGCCCATTGCAGGGAGCACGAGCAAGAGGGAAGTTAGTAGGGAAGATTGCAAGTTTCTCAGTTAAGTCTTCCCCATTCATGCTACCTCCCTAGACCTTATGCACTTGCATCGTGCCAATGAACTGCACGTCCGCTCACCATACCTGGCCTACAGTATATTACAACCCCCTACACCCTTGTGATCTGTGTGGCAGCTCTTGCACACCCCCAAGCACACTTCCTCACCTGTACAGCACCATAACACATGCTTTTCCTGATCTCTGAGCATCTTTCGCATAACTCTATTACACCCTTCCCAAATAATATAGTAATAAGATTAATTCTTCTTTCTTTGGAAAAAATTGGAGCAGAGATGTTACTTATATTAAACAAAAATTGCATGGAAATGTCACATTATATGTTAATGTTATCCATAGCAGAACATCCAGATTCAGCCATAGTTTCATTCCATACAGCATTAACCTTGTGAACTCTCAAGTTTCCTCCTTCCATTATATATTCAAGATGGACAGTATTTAATATTTATTTGCTACGTATATGTAGGGGTGTGGGTCTATACATATGTTGTTCATAGTATGTTTAGGTATGTGTCATGTGTGTGTTTCACTTTGAGAGCGGGCAATTACATTTCATTTTTGATGTGTGCCATTGTACCCACAGTAAAAAAATGACAATAAAGGTTATCTTATCTTATCTAATGCTGCAGGAATTCAATTTTGCAAGGGCTAGGTTTCTTCACCCTTGAACCTAATGATTGTTAAGGAAATAGTTGCAGAGATATTCAGCACAGGAAATTTCTGCATTTTTTTCTCTCTTCCTTGTGTAAAGACAAAATATACTTTGTATATTTCTATATAACATGACATCTGTTGGATATTTCTGGGGCTGTCATTTTCTCTTTCAATTCAGTTCTCTTTTCTTTCTGATTGAGACCTGCAATTCAGGCTAGAAAAGATCACTCCACAGGCTCTTAGCTCTGGATTGACTCATTGTTTCCTAAATAAAGCTAATTTTTATTTTCTTTCATAAAAGTGGAACACTTTTTCCATACACTATATATAAAGGTAATTATGATCCAACAAAAGCTACAGTGGGTTCAAATTTAAAGATGGAATGTAAGATGTAAAAAGCATAAATTAATGAGCAAAAGAAAAAAAGATTGTTATGTATATTTTCATTGATTTATCAAGCAACTTTATAGAGCTACCCTTCTATCAAAAGACCTCTAGATGGCAAACAGAAATAAAAACTAGAATAGAATAGCATTGGAAGGCACCTTGGAGGTCTTCTAGTCCAGCCCCCTGCTCAAGAAGAGAACCCATATCGTCTCACAGGTGAATGTCTAGTCTCTTCTTAAAAATCCCCAGTGATGGAGCACCCACGATTTCTGGGGATAAGTTGTTCCACTGGTTGATTGTCCTCACTTTCAGGAAGTTTCTCCTTAATTCCAGGTTGCTTCTCCCTTTGATCAGTTTCCAACCATTGTTTCTCATCCTTCTATTTGGTGCTTTGGTGAACAACCTGGCCCCTTCTGCCTTGTAACAATCAGATCTTCAGTCTTCTAGAAGGGCAGTAGGGTAGAGGCTATCTGTATCTCAGTGGAGAGGCTGTTCCATAAGACAGACACCATGACAAAGGTCCAGCACAGGTCCAGCTTCACTAATGGGACCTGGAGCATGTCCATTCTGTCTACCTAAGATGGTGGCACAGGTTACTTGGCCACATGCCATATAGGTTTTAAACAAACCAACTAACATTTGAATTGCGCCTGTAAGCTGGATGTTGTGTAAATACATCATGAAGCATCCATTGGTACAAGTGCCACTGCATTCTAGACAAGCTGAAACTTGTCACTCATGTCTTATTCACTTCCTGATTGCATTACTGTAATGCAGTCAGGAGGTGAATAAGACATGAGTGACAATGAGCAGTGTCTCCTGATCTAGGAATTAGTGCAATTGGAACAGATGATGATGATGATAATAGTTGAAAGGGACCTTAAAGGTCATCTAGTCCAACCCTCCGAGTTTGACATGCCCGCTCTATACCATTTCAAACAAATGGCTGTCCAATCTCTTCTTAAAAATTTCCAGTGTTGGAGCATTCACAACTTCTGGAGGCAGGTTGTTCTACTGATTAATTGTTTTAATTGTCAGGAAATTTGGGCAAAAGCCCTCTAGTCATGGCTACCATCTGCAGCAGCTGTGAGTCCAGGAGTATTCCACCCACTTTCCTCTGTGTCTAGAATTTACTACTGCCTCTACTTTATATTCTTCCTCCCCATTTACCAGTATAAGAGGGGAGTGCTACCTGTGAACACAAAATGCAGGAGGATACCTCTTTCACCAATAAAGATTGATGGTGAGGGTGAATTTTCATTGATGCTGCAATTTGCAACTTGAGTGTAACTGGGTTTATTTGCTTAATCACTGGGAAGGGGCCAATCATTTTTGATCCAGTTTTTTGGAAGGCCTTGTGGAATTAAAAAAAAAATGTTGAAAGCCACAACAGATCCCCTTCCGCAATTCTAGCCCTCTCTGGTCTACATTTATCTACTGCATTTTTGTATGTGTCCTTACTAGTTCACGTTGTTCTTTAAGAGGGTTTAGGCAGCTTGCCTCTTGTGCAGAAAATGTGAAACACAAGGGACAGCGCTTTTGTGCCTGATTGTTGACAAGATCTGAGAGTGGAATCTGAAAGTTTCTGGGAATAAAGGTATACCAGTAGGAGTGTGCTGCATTGTTGTAAGGAAGAGATCAGTTCAGTTGCCTTGCTGATATGAAATATTACATCTTACAGTCACAGTTGTCACAGTTGATTAACCTTCTCAGATTCTCTGTTAATTGACAGATGAGGCAAGGAAAAGAAATGAACTAGCACTGATGATATAATCTAATTTGGGTAATGAAATACCTGCAAGAAAATACTAAAGCTCAAATATTTTAAAAAAATATTTAATAAGTACAAGAGGGCCTTTCAAAATTTGGTAGTGAACTGAATTCCTTTGCCTGAAGTTACATGATTAACGAAATCTTCAATCATGTAATTTCAGACATGTGGTTCAAAAAAACCTGAGCTCTTTCCTGGACCATTAGGAGATTCTTTCAAGGCATAAAATGACCCACTTTGGTAAATAAATCCACTGCTACCAGTATATTATATATCTTTGCATTGGGGGAAGATTGGTAATAAAATCTAGGGAAATAATCCCAGGGCTGTGACAGACTTACTTGTTGCTGCAATAATTCAACCCATTTACCAGGAATTGGTTTTAATGAACAATAGATATGACAAGAGGAAGCTCAATGCTTAATGTCTGCACATTGGCAAGACCACCAGAACTCACTGAGATCTCTATGTTGGGTTTTAAACATTCCCCCCCCCAGTATCCTGTTGTTTTGTCATGGCACAGTTGTAATATTACTCCCCCAGTAATATTACTCCCCACAGCTGTAATATTACTCCAGGAAGGCAATTGTTGGTCTTCCTGGAGGTCATCCATTGGGGCCTGGCACATGCACTTTCTCTCCCTGGTTCAGTTTTTCAGGTTGGTCTGATTTATTGTGTATGGTTGGGTCATTGTTGTTGGGGAGGGTGACTGTGGCACATTATATTCCAGCTTATTTGCGAGGGTATTTGGAAATTTGTTTTGGAGCCTGGAATGTAAAAGATGTAAAAATCAAAGTGGAACAAAAAATATGCCTGGTTTGTCAAGATGTGACCAAATTCATATGATCTATGGCACGGGTCAGCAACCTGCAGCCCCGGAGCCGTATGCACTCTTTCACCCGTCTCCTGCGGCTCCCTGTCCTCAGCCACCATGTGCAGTCTGAAAAAAAAGTGGGACTAAAAAAGTTCAACCAATCAATTCAAACTTCTCATGAAGTTTGAATTGATTGGTTGAACTTTTTTGGTTTGTGGGACTGCCCACAAACCTCTTCTTCGTACTGCATGTGGTGGCCGGGAGGATTGCTGGAAAGGTGTCCTTGGTAAGGAGCCGTGGGTGGCCGGTCTCGGGGTGCCATTTCCCTGCCCGGCGGGTCTCCCCTCGCCCTGCTCCGCCACCGCCTGTTAGTCAGGGAGGTTGCCGGGGTTCTCTGTAGCTTTCCCTCTCCGCCTGTGCCTTTCGGCCGTCTCACAGGCAGCGGATTCCCCCACGGTGCCTGCCTGGCCCTTTCCCTACCTGTTGCATGATCCTCTTGGCTGTCCTCCTGCTGTCGCTGCCACCGGTCGCACTGAGTGAGGCCAAAGAGGCGGCGGTGAGCAGCCAGCTGTGCCACTTCGCCATCCTCTTGCCACCGCTGCCACCCTCGGTGCTGCAGAAGAAGGAGATCTTGGGCTGCGAGGGCAGCTTGGCTGGCGGTGGGTCAGGACTTCCCCTCATCTCTGTGGCAGCATTCTCTGTTGCCAGTGCGGCTGCCCATGGGCGCACCCAGCCTTGGCACTCTCCTCTTGTGACGGCGAAGTGGCTGAGGACACAGCAGGGGCGGCGGCCGGGCCGGGGACAGCGGGGACCCCAAACAATGCTGCAGTGGCCACCACCAGAGCTGCTGCCTCCCATCCTGCTCCCCCTCCCCGCCCCTTTGGCTGAGGACATGGCGGGGC